GGGAAGACGCAGGGCCATGAGAGAAGATCGGCGCCCGTCCCTGCCGCCGCGTCCCGGCGGGGTAGGGGGAGAGCGGGAAGCTGCAGAGCGCGCCGAGCGGAGACGAGCAGAGCTGCGCGGGGCGCCGTGTCGCGCCACGGCCCTGCAGCTGCGGGCGCGGCCCGCACCCCACTGTCACGTCCGTTTTGGGCGGGCCAGCATTTTGCTCCTGCAGAATTTGCCCCCTTGTGCATCGCACGCCGCGGCCGGCAGGCACGCCCGGCCGCATGCCCGGGGCCCTGCTGCCTCACCTCACCCGCTACGAGGTGCGTCACCCGCTATGTCTCACCCGCTATGAGGTGCGTCACCCCCATGCCCACGACGCTGCCGATGATGTTGATCGCCCGCTCCCGGCTGTCCGCCTTGGCAGTCAGGTCCGCCGCCGCGGCGCCGCCGCCGCCGCCCGCGGCGCCGGCAAAGTGCTGAGTCAGCGCCGCGTGCGTCGCGCCGGCCGCGGTGCCGACCATCGCGCGGGAGAGGCTGCCCAGGCACGCCAGAAACAAGAAGGCGCCCGGCACCAGGGGGCTGGCCAGGTCGATGGCCATGGCTGCGGCATGGGCCGTCGATTGGCGCGCGCGAGAGCACACGCGTGGGTGTCGGTGCATCGGCGCGGTTTAGTGCGCGGGACGCCAGGCGTCGGTTGCGGCGCAGGCGGGGTGGCGCGGCGCATTTGCGGCTCCGCAGGGCGCCTGTGCTCGAGCGCGCGGCCCCTGGGCGGCCTAGATGCTGCAACGGTGCGGCCCGGTGCGTCGCCAGGGGTCTGAAAAACAACACAGCAGAGGGGATCGCAAATGAGAGCGCCGTGCGGCACCCACCCACATCGTTGGCGACGTCTGCAAAGAGGCGCCACTGCTTTGAGTACGCCTGGAAGTCCCCGCCGGCTGCAAAGGCGATGCCGCCAGCCATGCCCACCACGTCCTGTGTGCGCGCGCGCGTGGTTGTGTGTATGTGTGTGCGTGGTTGTGTGTATGTGCGTGCGTGCGTGTGCATGTGGGTGTAGGTGAACATACAGGGAGATTACTGCATGGTCGCGTGCCGATGCATGCAAGTCTGGGCTGAGGCGCAACCGCACGGGCACGAGCCCTGTGCGCGCAGCAGCGCCCGGGCTGGCGGCCTGCACCCCTGCCCGAAGGCGCCGCCCCCCCACCCGAACGAAGAACTGGAACACCGCGCCCAGCGCGGTGGCGGTCTGCGATGAGCCGGGCGGTGGGGGCGTGTTCAGGGGCGGCGGCGTTGGGCCGCTGACGGCTGGAAATGGCGCCTGACCCAGGCAGACGAGGCGTGGCGGCCGGCGACCGCTGCCAGAAGTTGCTGGCGTGACCACCATCAGCAGCGGGGCGTGCCCAGGCGGTTCGCCCATGCCCAGCTTCCCTTGGGCGAATTCCGGGGCCCCAGCAGCGCTTCTGACTCAGCCCCTGCTCCTCGCCCTGCTTTTGTCCCCCCTTCCCGCGCGCCTTGTTGCCGACGCCGACGCCGCGCAGGACGGCGTGGCTGGATAGGATGCCCCTGATGTAGGAGGACAGCCCCTGCACCGCGTGCCAGAAGACAAACGCGGGATAGTCTGGCGTCACCGTCGCGGGGTACCCCTCCGGCAGGAACGCCGACGCCAACGCCGCGCGCGCGCCGCGCCCGCCGCGCCCGCGGGGCGCGGGGACGTCGCCGGGCGCGCCCGAGAGCGCGTCGGCGAGGCGGCAGCGCGCGGCTAGGCGGCCGTCGGGGCCGTACTCGGTCAGCAGCGCGCCGCCCGCGCCGCGGGGGCTGCGCGGGCTTGTTGGCGGGCTCGTCGGCGGGCTCTTGGGCGTGCGCCTCGAGGTGCCCGAGCCGCTCATTTTTTGATTGTGAGATGGCCTTGCGAGCCGCTGTGGTTGACACCAATGTGTTGCTGTGTCGTTGATGAGTTCGTTGTTGGCTGTCACACTGGATCAGATCTCAGTGCATGGCCTCGCCAGGGCGCTGACGGGAACAATGGCTAGCATCGAAGAATGGCTAGCAGCTTACCGTATAGCACATTGCCCAGCCCCCACGCGTGTCACCCTTCGAGTGACAGGGAACCAGGTAGCTCGACGGAAGCGGCGCTTTGAGTCCTTCCTCTCAATCGCAAGGACCGCGACACCCATGACTTTCACGAATTGAGGTAGCTTAACAGATGTCTTATTAGGTCGCCAAAAGGGCCATAACATACTCTTGTTCTTGACAATCAGACAGTCCTTCAGTCCTGGAGCTTTCCTCGCCTGGAGCCGCGCCATCTCGGACATTTGGGTGACAATTTAGGGGTCTGGGTCAACCACAACTGCGATGAGCGCGGCCAAGCGCGGCAAACGGGCAAAGCCGGACGATGTAGAATCGGACAGGTCGAGCTACGCATGCTTCGCCGCAGCAGCGAACGCCGTATCGCAGCTGTACACTGCTGGCGTGCGGGAGAGGCGCGCCGCGTCGCGCCACACGCTGGTGAGCATCCGTTCAGCGGTGCGGCAGCAGGAACACCGTGTTGCGCAGCTGCGCCGTGCGAGAACCGCAGTTGAGGAGTGCGCACGCAGCGTCATGCGGCTGTTGAAGTGCAATGCCTGCCCCAGTAGCTGCTCGCGCGGCAGCAGGCGCTGCGCTTGGCTGCAGGAGGCCGGGCCGCACAATGCATCGCGCGCGCCTCGCAGCAGCGGCACACGCGGCGGCGGCCGCCGCTGCCCCATGCGCGTGAATGCTCCTGGGCGCGCATTTGCGGTGCCCTCCCCCTTGCCTACCGTTGTGTGCGTGGAAGTGTCGCGGTGCAGCACCCTTGTATAAACTTGCAAAGTGGCCAAATCGTGATCTCACCTGGTTGCACCCACCCCTCAACCCTTAATCCCCGCCAACAGGAGAAGGTCCTTGCCTTCGTGCTGCGTGAGTACCCAAATTCGGACTACGTCCCGAAGTCCGTGTTGCTGCAGTACCTGCAGCATGAGTACGAGGTGAGTGAGGGGCTCTGTCGGGTCACCGATGCCAGGATGACCCGAAGGGCACTTATGCGTGTGATTGTTCACGTCCCTGAGGCGCAAGTATGCCAGGACCCCTCGCCTGACCGCATTGCCCCCCGCCTTGCCTTGAACCATCCGCTTTTGCCCACCCCCACGCCTCCCGCTTGCAGCGCACGGCAGATCACGGGGACACGGTGCTGCCGGCGGGCGCGGGGCTGCTGCCTTTCATGGTCAGCGCCGCCAGCGCCGCCAGCAGCGGCGAGGACGGCCCGGACTTGGAGCATCTCGTGGGGGGCGGCGGCAAGGCGGCGCGCGCCAACAGCGGCGGCCGCACTGCGGGCACGTCCTTGCGCGGGGGCGGCTCGGAGCAGTTGCAGCAACAACAGCAGCAGCAGCAGCAGCAGCAGCAGTACATGATGCAGCAGCAGCAGCAACAGCAGCAGCAGCAGCAGCAGTTTGCAATCCAGGGGCCAATGCCGCAGCAGCACTACCATCAGCAGCAGTTTGGGCAGCAGCAACTGGAGCAGCAGTTTGGGCAGCAGCAAGAGGAGCAGCAGGAGCAGGTGGGGCCGGCCCATGCGATGGAGACCAGCCACCATGGCATGTTCCCGCCCCACTTCGGCTGAGCGCTCTCTCACGTGGCCGCTGTGGCCGCCGTGGCACGGGCAAGTCAAGGCGCAGCGACCACCCTCATGCCCCGAGATGCGCGTACAGATGGAGTCGGCTCTAGGGTCGCTTGCTCAGGCCTCAGGAGCAGTAGCTGGGTGCCGGCAGGCGATGCATGGGTGCAGCCGTGGACGCCCGTGCCAGGCGGGTGGGCCCTTGCGTAGCAGGTGCCGCTTGTCGCCAAGGCTGACGCACGGCTTGGAGAACAGGTTGCAGTGTGCGTGTCTGCGCCGGCCCGCTCATTGTTGCGGTCCCGGTGCGGCAAGCCAGCCCACCTGGCGCACACACTCAGTTGGGACACGATTGGCGAGGACTGACAGCTCGCCTGCTGCTGCCAGGCGCGCCGCTCGTGTAGAGGGGCAAGCGGTAGCAGCGGCTTTCAGGCAGTGAGTGACGCCGTCCGCACTGCTGCACTGTACCATCAGCCCGCTTGCGGGCCCTCTTCTTTTCCTCCGTCCTTTCCTTTTTCTCTTTTTTTGGACATCTTTTTGCTGTCGTAGAAACCCTGATAGGGCACACTTGCATGCGTCTGGACCTGCCCTGCGGCTGTTTCTTATTGTCCTGTCGTCCTTTCTTTTGCCAAGCGGGGAACTGCTTTGTTTCCTTCTGTGCGGTCCCAGCTGCCAACTGTGCTGCGTGCGTGAGCTGCGGCGCCTGTTTTGTGTGCGCTCTGCCATC